TGGCTGTTTGTAGTGACATGACTTTGATCCCCTTCTTGGTTCACAGGTGCTGAAGCTGGGACGATCAGTTGATCTGTAAGGCCAAGGATCAGGTCATTCTGAGGCGGTATTGGGTGATTGTCAAGCAGGCTGAAAGTATCAGTGGGAGCAACTTCCGGCAAAGCTGTGTCACTCAAAGAAGATACAAAGGCATCACTGGTGATGTTGACAAGATCAAAAAGATTAGGGGAATCTGTCGCAAGTTCCTGGTTGAGATCAAGGATCACTCCATCGCAGAGGTCTCTTACGCCTTCGTCTAGCAGTTCATTTGATCTTTGAGCAGATTCCTCAGTATTTACCTGAATTACCAATGCATCAACCGGTGCTGAACTGATACTGTCCCCAAAAAAATCATCATTGAATGGAGCATCACCTTTTTCCCCTGGTAATGACTGTTTGATTGACTCCTCCGATGCTAGGCTTACTGATTCTACTGTATTACGGAGATCTTTAGACTCAGTTTCAGGGTAGGTTACAGACATGCTTTGTAAATGTAATTCCTGGTCATTAGTTTGCTCTGGAGCTGTTAGGTCCTCTACTGTTTCACTTGTTGAAGTCAACGGCTCTATTGATTTGCTTCCAGCCTCATTTAGGTTACCCTCCGTTGTGTTTTGCTCAGGAAAATCTGACCTTTCCTTCAAAAAATCTCCGGGCTCTTGTTCTTGAAGTGGTTCTTCAGACATGTCGCCCTCCTTTTGCTTTTCCTCTGTAAGGACTTCCCTTAACTCCTCTCTCTTTTTGTCATCATCAGTAGTTTTGTCATTTCTTTCATTTCGCACAGCTAATTTTGTGGGATCCTCAGCTTTCTCAGAGGATGACTGAAAAAGTCTTCCTAAGAGTCCACCACTAGGTTTGACATCTGTTTTTTTGGCATCTTTTGGTTCAACTTTGTTTGTTTTGTCACTTCCACCTGAGGTGAAGAGCTTTGACATAGGACTCTTTCCTTTCGACCAGGATCCCAGTCTCACTTTTGTCTTTTCAGTCTGTTTTGAAAAACCTTTCAGAGAATTTGTTCTTGCAACAGGCATCTTTGGAATACTTCCAGTTTCTTGGTCATTGCCTGACTCCATCTTTTGGATTTGCTCTGTATTCCCCTTAAGGCTGGCCTCCTGTCCAGTCATGAGTCCTGCTGGGCTTTGCAGAGTTATTGGACTTTCTGAATCACATGGGTTTTCTGGATTGACTTGGCACATCTCAGATGGTTCTTTGTGTTTCAAAACTTCTTGAGCTGAATTAAAAGTTTCAGTGAAACTCTGATAATCAAGTGGTTCCTCAACCTTGTCTACAACTCCATTCAAAACAGTTGTATCAGTCTCTGGGATCTCTTGACTGCTCTCCACTTTAACATCAGGCTCTTGGTTTGATGTACTCTGTGTTATTCCATGGCTGTTATATTCATGGCTTTCAAGGTACACCTCACTTTGGCTCTGTTCTTTGCTCAACTCAAATGACAAATGGTGTAAGTTACTATTATCCCCTACATCTTGGATATCCTCATATTCATTCACTTTGTTCTGTTCTGTTTGGTCTGAAAGATGCATACTATGGCCTTCACATTTGGCTCCAGTGGTCAGTTGCAAGGACAGGTCATACTGAGCAACATCAACATTTGAAGCAAACCGTACAGACTTCTTAACTTTATTTGGATAAGCATCTGGTCTGGAAGACGTTGGATTGAAGTTTGTTTTGGAGGTCAGTGCCACATTTTTCTGTGCAGTTTTCATGTTTGTCACAGTGCTACCCTTTTCTTTGTGGGGTGAAGAAAAGTTGAGCACTCTCGGAGAAATGCTGTCAATGGTTCGATCACTCCTGGATTTTGTTTCCCCTGGAGGCAACTTCTCAGCTGAGTTATGACCGGTTGTTTTAGATCGTTCCTTGACTCCTGAAATGATGGAACTTGACAGTGCCTTTACTTTATCATGTATTTCCCCACCATGGTTGATCTTTAATTGGTTGTTGTCACTTTTCTGATGCTCTGAAGTAAGTGCTTTGCCAATGTCAGATGTCTTCTTTTTTACATATGATAACTGTGCTGGATTAACTCCAGGTCTCTTCTTCTCTGGTGGCCAGCTTCTTTTCAGTTTGCCATTAACATCAGCACTGCTGTTACATCCTATGTCTCTTGCAGACCTTCTAACACTATCAGTGGATTCTCTGGAGTCATTGGACGTGTTTGAACTGTTTTTTTTAATTTTGGGAGTGGGCCGATTGTCTGTCTCTTCTATTTCTTTATTTTTCTGAAGCCAGCGGTCTTTATGTTGCTTATGCCCAAATCCCTCATCATAATTTCCTGATCTTTTAAAAAGCTGTTGGTAGTGAGCAATGCAGTAGCACTCCCCATAAAGAGAAGAATAGTTGTGGATGCTGCAATAAAGTAAAACAAAGCATTTTTAATATAAAACTAAACTTTAATTTAGATATTGTTTTATTTGTCATGATTTGTTATTCATTATAATCAGCTGTGAATTATTTCAATTCATTGGAGATTTGCAATAATCAAAATGTTATTTCTAAATCCTCTTAAAATGTGTTTTACCATTAACATTAGAATTTACATTCTAGTGATTTATATTATTGATTGTGGTGAATGTCTTTTTGATTTGAGTCCTTTTACTTTGAAAAACATCTCACCTGAGCTTCTTCTTACAGTGTTTACAGCAGAAACAGTTGTTGTGTAGGATAAGTTTATTGGCCACCATTTTCTCCATTGGATAGACAGGTGTCAAACAGGCAGAGCATGTATCCTTGGCAGGTGACCCGAACTATGGTGATAAAACAAATTCAGTTCAAGGTATGTAAAACATTTCATTAAAGCCTTTCTGTCTATTGTAATGATTTATTGTCGTTTAAAAATATTTGTTGTTAAGCGGCGAAATCTGAGGGCAGTATGAATCTTATTTTCTAACTCTGCCAAAAAGCAAAGTGTATTACCCAACATTTTGAACTTTTCTTTTAAGTAAACTTAATTATTTCTAAAGCTAGCGTCATTAAGATGTATAAGGAAGTGAACATTTTGTGATATGATGACTTTCTATATCTAATAAACTTTGAGTTTTAAAGAACAATAATTAGAGACCAGTATAAAGAATACAAGTCATTTTCACAATCACATCTTTTAAAATTGTTTTTATTTGACAATTTACACAACAGAATATACAGCATCAACTATGCTTAGCTTTAATACAAGAACTTAACACTTTATCATGTGGTTACAGTATAAAATCTATAAAACAAATTTGTATTAAATGTCAACATTTCCATAATTTAATAATATCAATTTTATGACCGACAAAACCTTTTCAGAAATTGTAATAAATACACAAATGAATAAACTGCTTTCCTAACATTTATTTCAGGAAACTCTTTTTGTCCTAATTAGAGCTTTTATTTTGGTTGGCTAAATGTTACAAACACAGTCCCTTCATTGTTGGCAGTGCTCAACACTTTCTCTTCAAAAGGGCGAGCAGATCTTCGAATTAATGGGGATGTCATGACTTCGTATTTTGTTGGAATCCCCACTACTTCAAACAGTGCCGATGGTTTGCTTTCAGACTGTTTGGTGACAAATGTGGAAGTCACAGAAGAAACAAACACATTGCCAAAGCCATCGGTCTCTTCGTATGTTTCACTGACTGTCTTTGTACCAACTATTCCTGCGGGTTGCTCTGGAACAGTTTTCACCTCGAGCACACTGACCTTGCGCTGTGCCGGGCTGTGACCATTCTTTAACGGTACAGCAAACTCATGTCCATGATCGCTATTTGCGTCATGACAACTTTCAGAATCATCCTTTGGTTTAAATGTTGACATGGGTGACTTTGGTTGTTCGACAGGCTTTCTGGCAGCTGAGTGAATTGAGATGAATGATGGGGAAGACTGGGATGAGGACTGTCTGATGAGTGGCCTGTTGTGGACTTGTCTGCGCACTTCTTGTTTGGAAGGATTTGAGTCCGAATAGGTTTGCATATTCCCCACAGATGCCTCTTTGATTTGACTTGATTTGACCTTGCTTGAGCCAATGCTGATTTTCCTGATGTTGTTGGCGGGTTGAAAGCTTTGCTCAGTTTTTAAGGATTCATCAAATAGTCCTGACAACCCTGCGATGTCAGCCTCAGATTTCAGGTTGGAAACAGAGTACAAAGCCTTTTTAATGGTCTCTTCAATGTCAAGAAGTTTTGCTAATGTTTCTTCCTTCAGATTCATTATTTCCTTGCTTGCCTTTTCCAGATCTTCAAATGCTGTCTCAACTGAGGAGATGCTTTCTAGATCATCATCCTGTGTCTCTACTTCAACCTTCTTTTCTCCTGTTTTACTTTGCCTTGCATTTCCACCTTGTGTAACCATCCACGCAGGGACAGTCTCATCTAACGTCTCTCCCTCCATCTCTTGCACTTGAGAAAGGATTCCTTTGAGTTCCTCGCGTTTCCTCAAATTTTCAAAGATTTCACTAGCCGCTTTCTCATTTCCCTTCATGATCTCTTCCTTGTGGACAGAAAGCCTTTGTCGTCTTTGGTCGTCTGTCTCCCTTCCTTTCTTTTCTCTTAAAACAACTTTATCTTCAATTTTGTGTGGCTTTTCGTTTTGCTGTACGTGGCATGTCTTGGTCTTTGATGTTTGCTGTGCGTCATCAGTGTTGCGTTCATCTTTGGGATGTGATTGGTGTTGCTGAGCTGTGGTATTGTTGGTTTGCTTATGGTCACTATCACTATCATTTATCACTCTTACCCTCTTGGACAACAAAGGGACTCTATTCTCTTGAGTCTCGCTCTTTTTTCTTTCGAAGTTATGTAGAGCAGCCTGCAAGCTCATGTTCATTTCATGTTTACCTTCTTCTGCATAATTCTTCATGCACATTTGTATCTCCTCAGCTGCATTGATTTTCTGTATTACATTTCTGTCCATCTCCATTTCAGTGCTGTTCAACCGCATGACGAGGCCTTCTGATTTGCTTCCTGTAAGTATTTTCTTTTGCTTCTTATTTTCCTGAACCTTTGAGTGGGTTGGTAGACTTTCTTGTGTTTTATTTGAGTCATAGAATGCTTCAATACAGTTTTGGTGTGATGTTTCATGTAAGGCCTCTTTACTGGTTTGGCCATGTGTTGTGTTTTCCGAAAGTTTATCTGGAGAAGGCTTGGGAAAGCTTTTCTTTGGTTTTGGAAAGATGTCTGCGCGTTCTATGTTGTCTGTAATGATGCAAGGGACGTTGGGAGCAGCTAAAATATTCTCATCTTCTACAACTACAGATTTGATCCATTGTGGCTTTGGTGGTAAAGCTGGCTTCTGCTCCTGCAGTTTCTCACTTGTCTTTTGAGGGAGTGGAGGTGGAGCTTCACACACAGAGCTGGAGGATCTAGAGTTTCCATTTGCTACAGGGTGGGTCGTTGAATTCTGTGTTGTTAGCGATGGTTGTCCTTCACAGGTTACTGAAATTGAAGGAGACAGTTTTGTGTCAGATGGAGGCACAGACACCACAACACACTGCTGGTGAACAGTCTTGCTCCTCCCTGAACAAGCCTTTCCTGAATTCCTGTATATCATTGCAGCTTTATAGTCTCCTTTGGATACATTTACACTAGACTTCTCAAGGGATTGCAGAGCCAATTGGACATTACCTCTTACAATATCTTCTTTATCTAGGAGCTTCTGCTCTGTTGCTGCACTCTGCAGAGACCTAATAGCTGCCCTCACATCTCCTCTGACTTCTTCTGTCTCATTTTCTGTTGTCTGAACATTAGGCTCACAACCTACAAAAGGTGGCAGTGATTCTGGTGCACATTTACTGATTATAACTGCACTTTGTTGACAAGCCTCAAAGGAAACATGGCTTTCCTGATCTTTCTCAACACTGACCTTTGGATAAGTCTTGGTTTGCTGGCTTCTGGAGGTAGACGAACATGCAGATTGCATCACTGTAGAGGAGCTTTCCTCTTGTGCTGTGACATTCAGGTTGTATATTTTTCCAGGGACAATGACTTCACGCTCCAGATGCAGGCTTTGCTGCTTAGCAAACTCAAGAGACTTTTTGGCTGCTTTCACATCTCCGGCTAGAATAACTTCTTTTTGGGCTTGACTTCCTTCTATTTCAGGACCTGACAAGTTCATATCATAGATAGTTCCAGGTTTAACAATTTCCCGCTCCACACACATGCTCTGTTTCTTTGCACGTTCTAATGACTGCATTGTTGCCTTGATGTCGCCAGCCACAATGTCCTCTTTTTCCACCACGGCATGTTGCATCAAAGCAAGTTGTTGCTTTGCTGATAAGATATCCCCAGGGATTATTTCTTCTTTTGGATGGTAGTTTTCAACACCAAGAGGGCACTCCGTCAAAAACACTTTTTTGGTGTTCTTTACATCCCCTGGCAAAACATCAGAAATGGTTCGCTCCACCTGCTCTTTTTGTTGACAGAGGTTTCTCATTGCTTCCTTTACATCCCCCTGAACTATTTCAAGGGGCTCCTCAGACAGATGGCAGTGATCAACTTCATCTCCTATTGCCTCAGTGTGAAGACTTTTCAGATAGTTCAGATCTCCTTTCTCAATGCAACTTTTGTACAGATTGACATTTCCCTTTTCATTTTCATCCACCCTACACGACACTGCAGTCCTCTGACTATTGGCCGTAGCTAATAGATTTCCGATCGTAGACCTAACGTCCCCCTTCTCAATAACGTGACTCTCAGTTTTGGTTTCAGAATTGCAGATGAGTGAATAAACTGACATCTCTGCTTGGCCCCCTGCAGTCTCTTGCATGATGATTCCATTTTTCAAATCCTTATCTTCGGAAAGGAATTCATCGATCATCTGGACAATGTTTTGTATTCTTGTATCCCTCTCGAGGTTGATAGTTGTGGATGAGTGGTAGACTGGAAGTTCTACGACGGTGGTATTCACTTTACCCTTCTCCACTTCTCTAAGAAGACTAACTTGGGGCTTCAGAGTTGGTTTGAGTAGAAGCTGTGACATGATGTTCCTGATGTTACCACCAACAACCTCTTCTTTCTGGATTTGCACACCTTTATTGCTTTCAAGCTGATATTTTGCCATGTTAACATTTCTGCTTTCATTTGCTTCTATTATGATGCCACTTGAATGAACAAAAGTCATTTGGTAAAGATAGGACAGGGTGTCAGCAATACTGTTGGCAATGATTTTGTCCAGTGGAGTTGTCTCGAAGAGCCAGGTTGTGCACTTAACATCAGATTTGGGCATTTCCTCCTCAGTACCTTGCACTGAAGTATCCTCAGGCTCCTTGATCTTGTCCAGTGGCTGTGATTCAAACAGCCACGTGCAGCGTTTAACATCCCCTTTCTGGCTGTCTTCCCTGTGTACTGCTTGTACTGGACCTTGCTCCTGAAGTTCTCCTTTCAGACTGTCAATGGTTTGATTCTCAAAGAGCCAGGTGGAGGTTCTGACATCACCCCGCTGGACGTCAGTGACACTAACCATTCGTGTGAACTTCTGGCATGACTTCTCAGATTCAAATATCTGTTTATTTAGCTGCACATTATTGCTCCCAAAGTCTTCAATAACCCTCACAGAGAGCTCATCTCGGCTGGTAAGTGAGTCCAAAGGTTGTGTCTCAAACTTCCATCTTGCGGATTTGACATCTCCTTTCTTGACATCTTCTTGTGTAACAGCTCGGATCACGTAAACCTCCTTCTCTGCCTTGATAGCGTCAAGGGGTTTTGTCTCAAACATCCACCTTGCTCCTCTTACATCACCACTCATTACCTCCTCTTTCTTCACAGTTGTTACTTCATGAAACTGGCCTTCTTTGTCCCTGATCGCATACAGTGGCAGGGACTCAAACAGCATGGTGCTTGACTTCACATCAACATTGCTTGGAGGCTCTTCCACAGAGTCGGACATCAGTTCAAGGGGTTGGTTGTGGATTTTGTCCAATGAGGAGGTTTCAAATATAAACCTTTTGTTCTGTACATCCCCACCTTCTACAGTGCTGACTCTCCGAATGCTTCCATCCTCATTGCCCTCATTCATCTGGTTCATTGGACAGTTTTCAAACATCCAAGTACATTTGTGTACAGAACCTTTTTCGAGGTGTTCATCTTGGTTCTGTTCATTGGATGTCACCATTACTGATCCTATTTCATCAATGGACTGGGATTCAAACAGTTCTTTGACTCGTGAGACATCTCCAGACTGAAAGTTGACCTGGCTGACACGTCTCTCATTGTGCTCAGAATTTGCATCCTTTCTAATGCTATCCAACGGTTCAGTTTCAAAAACATGTTTGACTGTTTGAACACCAACTTCAGATTTAACAGAATCCTTTATGGTGTTGCATAGTTTCAAGTTGTACTCTTCGCCATCTTTAATGCTTTCTAGAGGCTGTGATTCAAAAAGCCAAGTAATGGACTTGACGTTGGTTTTGTCAATGGCTTCTTTAGCATTTACTTGTTCAGATTTGTCATACAAAATATCCATTGGTTGGGTCTCAAATAACCAAGTACATTTCTTGACATCACCTTTTCGAGGTTCCTCTTCTACAGATGCATCCTGCTCTCTCTGGTTGAACTTAGAATGGATCCCATCTATTGTTTGGGTTTCAAAAAGCCACTTCGCCATATTGACATCGGCCATCATATCTTCCTGTCTGGTGATGCCTTTTATCACCTCTACATTTCCTTTTCCCTCTGCAAGCTTGTCTAAAGGCTTGGTCTCAAACATCCATTTATAGTTTTGGACCTTCCCTTTGATTAATTCTTCTCTGCTTACTGTTGTGACTGTATGGAGGTTTCCAGAGCTGTCCTTTATTGCATACAAAGGAGTTGTCTCAAACATTGCGTTGTTACCTTTTACGTTTCCTGCTGCAATAGATTTTTCCTCCTCAATTATTTCTTCATCAGAATGAGCAATTTTGCTCAGAGGAATTGTTTCAAAAAGATTTTTGAATCCCTTCACATCACCCTTTTCAATCTCTTGTTCCTTGGATTGGGTGTTCTTTTGAGTACTGCATCTCTCAAACATCTGTTTTTTGCCTTTGACTTCACCTTGTTCTTCAGCTGAAAGAGTAACTTTCTTCAAACGGCCAACTTCGTAGCTATCATTAAGGGTCTCCATGGGTTGAGTTTCAAACAGCCACATAGACGTCTTGACATCACCTGCAATAATTTCTTCTTTTTCCAAAGGCTTTTCTTCAGAATCTCCTTTCAGCGCTGCCAAGGGCTGCATCTCAAAGAGCTTCCTCTTGTTTAGGACATCGGCCTCTCCTGTGCTTTCATCCACCGTTCCTTCAAACATGTCTTCTCCAATGACCTCTTGTATTGTGTCAAATGACTGAGTTTCAAACATCCACCTCTTCTGATCAACTCCTCCTCGATTCCCCTCTTCCAGAGATATACCCCGAATTATTTTAACCCCATCAGTTCCCTTATTAATGAGGTCCAATGGCTGGGTTTCAAAAAGCCAGCGGGCAGTGCTGATGTTGCTGCTGTTGATCTCCTCCCTGCAGATGGATTTAATCTCATGGATATTGCCTCTGTTGTCTTTGATGGCACAGCAAGGTTCTGCCTGGAAGAGTTTGACAGTCTTCTGGACATCTCCTTTTTGCTCCTGAAGCTCAGATCTCAATTTTAGGAAGCTATAGTCTTCTATGGAGTTGCAGCGTCCCAAGGTACTCAATGGTTTAGACTCAAAAAGCAGCCGTGCCCCTGTCACGTCTCCTGGCTGGATTGAATCTTTTAGCACTGCTTCAACCAGTTCACCTTCTTCTCTTTTTAATTTATTTAGAGAATCTAAGGGTTGGGACTCAAACAGCCACGTTGATGTTCTAACATCACCTCTGACAGAAGTCTGTCTTTTAGCAGACATTTGTTGGGTGCTGTCAATGTGCTCAAACATGGAGGAGGTGCCCCTGACGTTTCCACCTGTTAACTCCTCATCATCCAGTAGCTTCTTGGTTTCATGAGGATGATCCCCAATATTATCCAGAGTCCAGTTCTCAAAGATCCACCTCATGGACTGCACTTCACATTGATAAGCTGCATCCGCTGCCTGAGTGTTTTCTTGCTGCACTGCCTTCATTATCTCATCGTCATCTACTTCATCAAGACTTGCCCTTAGGTCTGGGTGTATGTGTTTGAAGAGCCTCTTTAGCTCACTCTTCTGCCGTTGTTGTTGGATCGAGGAAAAGCTTTCTTTGGGTGGAGGCGGAGGGAGATTACTGAAGGCGGAAGGCCCTTCATAGTCAACGGGTCTAGGTGGTACGAGAGGAGGTGGTGGGAGAGGCAGGTTGTCTTCATCGTGAGCTGATTGGGAAACTGTGATTTTCCTGGCTGGTTCAGCCATCTTTAAATGAAAGACAGATGGGAGTAAAATTGTCAGGTTTCAGTAATCAAACAGATTATTATTTAAGATATGTGCAAATATGAGAATGACATGCATTTTAACAAAGTGAAGCCATACTTTACCTTTGTCTTGCTCGCTTGATGTTTTTCACAGCAAACCATCCTCTGTCACACCAGGCTTCAACACTTCATAGCTGTTAGTAAGCGGACATCACACAGGCACCCTTGACTAATATAATTCTTGAATAATATTTATTTTAGCCACTAAATGCTCCACCATATTCACTAGCTGGTTGCTCATTTTGTTTGTTCGGTGCGAAACAGATACTGTAAAGTGGGCTTTTAGAGCTTTTTTGCAGAAATGTGCCGTCGGCTGCCGAAAAAAAAAACACACTGGCGAGAAGAGTGCAACTGAATCAAAATAGTAAATTGGGTCTTCAAAACCCAAACTATGAGCTATAGGGTACACTTGGAGTTGGGTTATAGATACTTGTGGGTTTTTCAACATGAGCAGCAGCTTTAAAAATGTTCATATTGTGTGTGGGAATTATTTTTATTGTTTTATTGTTTTATAAGTCCAGTGAGTTGGAGAATGGAAACATTAGAAAATGTGTTACTGTCCAAAAATGGTAATTATTATGTTGGTATTTTACTACGGTATTCTTCCATAGTAATTTATCAAGATTGAATGTTCACACTTATTTGTGTAGCACGTTGAGATTTTGAATATTTTGTTTTAGAAGAAATCTAAAAAATCTAAATACTAATGTTGGTCTGCTATTGGTATTAACAAAAGGTAGAAAAACCGGAAATACATTACTTGTCATTGTCTGTTTTTAAGGGGAAATAAATTGTTATTGAACAAAAAGCAGTTAAGTTGTATTGAATGGCTTTTTCCTAACTCATGCCATTATATGATATTATTATGTTGCTTCTTAAAGGTGGGGTAGGTAATTTTGGAGAAACCAGCTCGAGATCGCTAGAATTTGAAAATACACAACCGGAGAAAATCTGCCACTTCCTTATAGAGCCCCTCCTCCAACACACACGAACGCGCACATGACCAATGAGGGCACGAGATAAGTTTGTGCCCCGATGGAAGGCTGACAGGCAGGTAGGCCATCCAGTTATTTTAGCCGGGCCGGCTAAAATGACTGGTCGTGCTTTTTACAGTATTACGGCTTCCACAGATGACATTTCTTTATGGATTTTTTGTCAAAGCACTTAATATATTCATTGCTATCGGGATGTTAAGAGCATTCCATGGAATATAACAAAAAGTGTATCTCGAGCCGGTTTCTCAAACTTACCTACCCTACCTTTAAGTTGTTGAATGTTGATCAAAGGATAACTGTGTTTTGGTTATTTTCAAGCAAAATACGAGTCATTTTCACAGCACACATATTAGCAGCACCCTCACACTGCAGTAGAGAAAGGTGAGTGAACTATACAGTACCTTGATGTTTTTAGCTCTTGTTCCTGAAGTACTGACAATTTCCTATTGAACAGAAAAAAAAAGTAATTTGGATCAGCATGATATATGAGTTAGTTCATTTATTTTATGTAAAAGTTGTTGCAGTGCTTCACATGTGCTTTCATTGGAGCTGAGCATTGTGGTTATTCTCTATTGAAGCCCTTGACCTCTGTGTGTGGGGAGGAATGAGAGGCATTTCAGGAACTCACTGGCTGTGCTGAGCCTCCTGTGGAGTCGATAGCTGCTGCTCTTGACAGATAGAGAGCTGATCTGTCTCTCACCGAGGAGGAAGTAGATATCCTGTGTCTGCTTTGTCTTGCTGGCGTCTCCCCTTTAGTCAGTGATGGACTATATTTATCATCTGCAAAATAAACAGATTTAATTAAACAAACAAATAATTAAAATATAAGATACCATGTTAAGTCAAATAACCTTGGGAAAGTATCTGTCCTGCTTGTTTAGATGTGTTGATATGTTTTCCAGAACAAGTGTGAAGTGTGTATAGTGCCAGCGACAAGTTTAATGATAACAATGTGTGGGTGTATTTTTAGTGATGGAGGGAGCTTTCTTATCACTGTTACAACTCACTGTTAACTTGTGGCAAACAGTAAACAGCATCCAGTGATTTTGAGTAGCTTGGCGGACTTATGAGTTAAATGTGACATTGTAACAAACAAATGCTTTTACGAAGATTTTGAACCCATAGGTGACATGACAAATAGGCCCACACAGCCAGCCTGCTGCCTGCCAAAACAGCAACTGCTAGCTCAGCTGGAGTGACAGATTGTTTTCACAGTGTTTGTGTGAGCTCTCTGCCATCAAACCATCAACACCTGACCAAAGGAATGTGCCTGCCTGACCCCATGAAAAACATGGAAAATACCTCAGCTTGATGTGTGTTACTTCACCTGGTTGTTTTACTCTGCGGTAAAGAATATGGTAGGTATGTTGAATTCAGAAAGTATTTCAACAACAACAGCACTGCAAACAATATGACCAGAGGTCAGCCCAGAGTGCTGCTCAGGCCATCCGGCTGTGACTAATGTTCAGATTTGAACACACCTCCCCTTTTCAAACGCTAAGCCCCAACAGGACAAAAGGATGGAACAGCAAGCTGGCGCCTCTCACGAGTCCGGACTTAAACTATTTTCATAGATGGGTGAGCAGACAGAATGAGCGCCATGCGTGCCCAGTTGAAGTCCTAACCCAATCAGCTGAGAGGTCAACTTATCATTACTCATACACTGGCATCAATATCTGCCGAAAATACAACATCCAGTTGTTACCAATCAAAAGTGACTTATTTGACGTCCAACACCTTTCTCTGTGATTCCCAACCTGACATCTCTTTGATCTGATTCTCCAGGAATGAAGAGGAGCTATTAGCGGCACAGCAATGTAGGGGGCGTTTTGGGCCGCTGGCAGCTGTACAAATGGTGGTGAAATGCAGTTGCTATTTGTTCTTCACTTCCACCACCTTCACCACCGTCAGCTGTTGGCGATTGTAGCCACATTCACAGACTGTAATGAAAATCTGAGTGCCAAAAGGCGGCTCATACAGGAGGGCCCCACACAGCACATCACACCACTGTGTGTTACACCTGATAATACAAAATCATATTGAATTTCCCTATTGCTTTTATGGCAGATATGCTGCTTCTCATTTTATAGTTCACCCTGACTGATGATAGAAAGAAGGAAAGCTGACAACTGCAAGTTCCTGTTGTCTGACCTCCCATTCCAAGCATTTCTAAGGATAAAGGGCTGTAAATGTATAGCCGCTCAAGACTAAATGAAGATGCCAGCAATGCACTTAGAGTACATCAATCTGTGACCTTGTTTAGCTCTGATATAACTTATAAGGAAATAACCATAAACAATAAGTATTCAGACTGCCAAAGGTGTTTTAAAATCAAATTGGGTAACTCTGTAATTAATTCTAAGCTTTTACCCTTTTAATGAATCTGTTCAAAGTAAATGTTTCTCAGTGACTTATCATCAACACACAATATTCAACTCAAAGTTAATCTTGTGAATGAACTGAAAAAACATAAAGAGCATCCACACTCCATATCTTTCCCAGACCAACAACATCCGACAGAACAAAGCTTTCTCCGTCACTATTATACAGTATATTTCACATTAGCAACACAATCAGTTTCAATCAAGTCAATACTCATGATACTCACTCAAATACTATCCAGCGTGGTTCTCTGTCTCTTCCCTGTATCTCTGGGTGTGCTGGATAACTCTTAAGGACCCTGTTATATGTGATACAGCCGGTCTCCTCTCTGCTTCTCGCTTCACTCTGACCAAACTCTTTCTAGTCCTGTGGTCTAGGTGACAGCTGATTTTTATCAGAGACCACTGCCCCAGTGAAAGACTTGGGCTATTTTGGGAGGGAGTGCTGGCGGCTGCTGCAACTCGGCTGAGTCAATCGCCTCTGTTAGTCACTGAGGGACTGGGACACCCCTCCGCCTCCCATTCCCATAGCTACATTGTCACCCACTATAACGGGAACGGGGTGGGACCTGCAGTATGTCTGTCGGAGGGCATTTTGGGAGCAGCATAATAAAAAAACACAGTAAAAGTCCCTTTTTGGTAAAGTTGTTCACTAATAAGACAGCTGAAGACATATTAGTATTGTCACATATATGCTACTAGATTATTCTAGTGGCCTTCTAATCTTCTAATGGTCAAAATGGTCATTGGTCTTTTTTTTTCAAGCTTTGTCCCTCCATGAAGACATTTATAGTTTAACTATTTTTGCATACATTTTGGCAGAGATGTGTTTTTTTGTTTTATTTTTGAAGTTTATTTGAAACCTAAGCTCCTATAATAAGAATAAACAGTTTAGACAAGTACTGACAATCAGACCCTTATTGACCAAAACGTCCCCAATAAAACCATCTAATAGCACAATTTTCGATCCCAAAGCAATTACAGCTCTAAACAATAATTTCTGTTGTATCAGGCTTTCAATTGAGACCAAAGGATTCAAAATGTAACTGTTTATTATTAAATACTTTCCTTCTAGATCGAGCCATTTTTTTCAGAGTTTGTCATACAGGGAAAAAACGTGCTATTTTCATGCTTTCTGGTTCAAGATATAAAATGAAATCAATGTTGTTAATGTTGCTAGTCAATGGCTGACATTTAAATAGGACTAATAATAGAAAATAGTATATATCATTTTTCAACAATATGTTGCGAACTTCTTTAAAGGGAAGCAGAAGGGTCAGTGAACTATGTGTGTTATTCACGCCAGACTCATCTCAGGGTCAAAGCGTCAACTACCGTACGCTGTCTGATATCAGTTGCTTGACACGGATAGGCATGGCTCCGGGGGCCAAGGTCTGCGTCACGGTCAGAGCCATCAGCAACAGCCTCACTCTATCTTAAGAACGTAAGCCCAACGCATAGTTATGCCTTTACACTGCTGCATCCTTGTCTTTATTTAGCTGTTTTCCTTCAACTCCCAGGGCCAAAGAACATAGTGGTCAGTGTTTACCCAACTCTGTCAGGATTTGTATTGTGACACTTTCAAAACACAAGGAGATGATCCTGGCATTTTTACTCTGGTAACTTAACCCAGATTCATTGGATATACCTGACATTTGGGAATGCTAAAACACTGTTTTTGACACACAGATTAATATCTCAGCTTTCCAGCAGTAACGCAAATGTTTACTCACCCATAGATCAGAGAAGGCAGTCTTACTTTTCAAAACGTTTTCAATAGTGCTGTAAGGTGAGGAGGACACACTGTGGCACCAGAATACAACAGTGATGTCATGCCTTTGAGGGAACCACCGACCCTGTATGCCCTGTCAGATCTCAGACTAAACCTGAAATGAAGCACCGCTGCTCACCATGTGAGTGTCTCGATGCTCTGGCAGAAGACTCTGGGAGTCCGTTCATGGCCTTCCTTCCTTCCACCTGGTCAGCTCTCTGTGAATAAACAACATATAGTGAGGTTAGGGAATTGGGCCTGTTAAGATCTGAACCAATTACAGCTTAATGTAAAAGTTTGATATTTTGGAGAAGTAACGTTTGTTCGCTTTCTTTATTAAAGGTTTAATATGGATATCAATACAACTGTGTCTCCCTGTTTGAATGTCTCTACTGGTTTCAAAGGGTGAGATTGTAAAGAGGTCTATAAGTAAATGACCCGGCTTCTCCCCTTGATTTAAAACCCTTTTTTAAATCACTGGTTGCTAGTCGTCTAATGGTGCCATTAAGAGTCAAATAGAGGATAAAGGAGGATATGTTTTATAGCGTGGATATATTGTAATTGACGGTGTTGTCCGGTTTGTGTGGTTGTCAGTGTTTTTTATTTGTATTTTAACCCTTTCACAGTGTGTTTTCAGTTCATGAGAGTTCAAAATGTCTTCAATGTCCATTAAAAAAAGGGGACAATGGACAAATTGCCAAAATCCAGGTTTGAAAAGTAGTCCACAAACTAATCCAGTCTTAATGCTAAACTAAGCTAACATAGTGCTGGCTTCTAGCTTTTAGTGTACATACATGAGAGTGGTATCCATCTACACATTTCACTCTTAGAAAGAGAGCTAATAAGAAAATGTCCATAATGTTTCACTATTTGACGCTTTGACACTAGGATCTAAAGGATATATTACTTCAGTCAATTCAGTGAAACCTGATATTAAACTAAACTCACACACCTGATTGGTTGTATCCTTTAAGGAGGTGTTGGGACTTCTCCAGTCCTGCAGAGGGCAGTCTCTCTCTGTCTTACTGCCAGTGTTGAGCCGGGGGCTGCTGGTGAAGCTTTTATGAAGGCCAGCCTTGGACTCAAACAGGGCGCACAGAGCTCTGGTACCTGAAGGCTCCCTCTGAGGGAGGAAGTCCATGGAGCAGCTCCTGGACAGATTAGAGCTTCTTCCAGACCCGCTAAGGGCCAAATTCTCCCCTCCAGTGTCCAGCCTCCTCAATCCACCGTCAACACAGCTTTCTGACACCTGAAAGCAGCATTTTATTTGTATGTGATTTCTGGCAATGTTTTATTGGTTGTTACATTTATTGCTCATAATGAGTAAATACAAATATGTATTACCTTGAGTTTATGATCCTCCTTTTCAATACTGCTCAGGTCAGCACAGCTTTGGTAACTGTTTAAACACATTTATTGACAAATGTATTACAGTGTCTCTTTTGATTTGAATCCAAGAATCAGCTGTTGTGAGCAGTAAAAGTGAATGAAAATGTCCACGTGACACTTGACTTTCATCCCTTAGTCAGTGGCTACCAGAAGAGAACTGTACCAGAAAGCCCCCAATGTGTGAAGATGAAGCAGTATTTATAAACCAGTATATTGTGCGACACTTACTGTTGCACCAGCTGAGAGACAGACTTCCTGTCCCAGCGGGTGAGAGCTGGCATGACCCATGACCTCTCCTGAACCCCAGAGAGGCTCTTCAGGGACTGGGTCCTCCTCAGGCCAAATCCCGCCATAGCAATCCCTCTTACAGCAGCTACAACAAGAGGATGTTACAGTGATGATGTGTGAAAATAAATACATGAAGTGCCTAACTATTGTACAGTGGAAATGTTCATGAACCAAAAAGCTCTGGACAAAAACATACAAATACTGTTTCAAATAATTTTCCTATAGTTATGAAGTTGTCCATTATTTGTGGGTCTTTAAATACATTACATTTAAAAAAAGAAATGTATACCTTAGATCTTATTATTATTAGTTTAGGCATTAATAGCCTACAATACATTTTCATGCCTGTTAAAAATGTAGAAATGCACTGAAACCACAGCTAATTGATCGTAGCCCATTTGCACTACTGACGGTACACTATTACTTTTTTAGGCTACGGCTTAATAATAATTTCAACTACTATATTTGATGAACAGTATATACTTTATTGAATTTTAGTCTATTTTGTATCATACAGAGCTCAGTAATTTAATTTGTACAATAATTAAAAAATGCATACTGTCCTGTATTTTGAAACAGTCAATACAAATTAAGTAAATAGCAGGCTGTTTGTAGGTAATGTACAAGTATTCATGTAATACATGTTAATAATATCTGTATGAGAAATAAAGAAAGATATCAATTAGTGATCGATTTGATCTGGACAAACATGATTACTATTAAAAGCCAAAATTCTTGAATTCACTTTTTGGACATTTTGACTGGCATTCAATTATACAGCTGACTTAACTTCATTATTATATAACAGATTGTCACACTGACAGTCATATGACTCTCTGTTAATATTTATGGACTTTCCAAGAAAGAGGACGCCATCAGATCAAAAACCAAAAATACAAGTTCTACATTTTAAGGAAAACTCTATATTCAAATGTATACTCTATTAACTCGCACATAATGGTAAAGCAAAAGCAGAATACAGTTGCAATATTGCCATTGTGAATAATGTTATGCTGTTTCCTGTGAGAAATCAAAAGAATATTCAACCCCGTACCTGCAGGGAAGGAGCAGAAGTCAGCTGTGCATCTCGGTCACTTGTGGTTTAGAGCATCTCTCACAAGACACAGCAATATCTAGTGGCCAAAGTCCTTCAACACCTTGTGATTCAAAGCTTCCGGATCTGCTACCATAACATCACCTGATGCATTTCTCTGAAACACCAATACGACCCAAGTTTTATTATGCAGGGCAGGTCATAAAACTACATATTTTTTCTAGTTAGGTATTTAAATACTAGTGAATTGTGATGACAGTCTGATGCATTGAGTAACCAGAGCGCAGACCTGTGGGTTCTCACAGCTGCTCGGGCAGATGTCAGCGCTCGGATGCCTAGCCGCTCTGTTACTGTATTGCATGCCAGCAGCACTTTATCTGCCCCTCACATGCTTATCATAGCCACTTTATTAGACAGAAGAAATCACACTCATTTACCTCACACACTGCTTCTCCTGAATGTGCTTAAACAGATGATAATGTGTTAAGTTGCTACTGTTTTTCTGCCAATATAGGGCATATCCAGGGCACAAGAAAACGCTGAGGCAGCATGTTTATTAAAGTCCACTGTTGCGGGGGAGATTTACAACCCTACAAAACTGTTGGTGCATGAATGACATTTACCAATAAGTAAGAGAGAACTTTTTATATACTTTTTTCAGGAAACATGAAGTAATCATTAACTGTTTTAAGATTCACTGCGTCTATCAGTTTACAATGCAAACATAACACTATGAAATCAAAGAATCTGAAAACTCTATGATAAACAAATATTTAAATAGTGGTTTGAGACTGATCTCCCCCCCCCCCCCCCCCCCCCTGTACTGAACTGTGTCGTCATGAACACAGTTCTGTCCACAGGGCCGGTTCTAGCCAATTTGATGCCCAAGGCGAGATTTTAGCTGGCAATAAGCCAACATCCCCCACTTTCATCACTTACAGCGCCCATCGTACAGGGCAAATTAAAAGTGTAACCGGGGTGAAAAGGGTGTTACATTTACTTAATTATGAATGTTGTTACATCTAGGCCGAAAATTAGGATGAGCACCAACGGTCAAAAATGTTTTTTTCCCTCCCAGAGCTACCAGCGCAGCGCCCCCCCAGATCTGGCGCCCTAGGCGACCGCCTAGGGCAAAAACCGGCCCTGTCTGTCCATCAGACAGAGTGCTGCTGTGCCTCCTGTCATCATTAATGGACGTCTCTTTAAAATGACTGCTCAGAGGAGAGGATTCCTCATTTCTCTAACCGCCTGCTACTTCCACTCCTCTCTCCTCGGTTCCCCTCCTCGACTCCTTCGCTCGCATCTCCTGTGGGCGGGACTAAGACACAAGGATAGGAGTCGAGGAGGGGAGTCGAGGAGGGGAATTAGAGAAATGAGAAACCTTCATAGTGTTCCTACATCTGACCACATGACTTCTCATGAGCATTTACCATGTCGACCTCCAGTGGATAAAATAGTTAACTTATTTACTCAATATAATTTAACAGCCAGGAGATGGAGCCAGAGCAACATGCCTGCCTCCATCTGTAACAAACGTGGTTAAAGGGCATGAGAAGCAGTGAACACACAACACTGATGTTATCTACAGTAAGCCACGTGAGTGCACATGTAAACAAGGTAGCTGTTTGCAATAGTATTATCGAATATTATTGATCCCTTTGTATGGTGCAGAAGTATAAAATATAGGGACAAACTATAACATTTGTGGTGCATTTGTGTAGTACAAACACATGACGAGTAACAGTGGAGTCAAGGAGAGGAGTGACCAGCCCACCCTGTGTGTTGTCAGCCTGTAATGCATGTGTTTTGCCAGCTGCAGTGGGAGAAAAGAGAGGAAATCAGTGAGTGATTGAGCATGTAGGGGTGTGTGTGTGCGTGGGGGGGGGGTCAGACAGTCTCACCCACACAGCTCAGTACTGGCCTGAACAGCTGAGAACAGAACAGGTCTCCTTCCTCCTCCTCCTCCTCCTCCTCCTCCTCCTCCTCCTCCTCCTCCTCCTCCTCCTCCTCCTGCTGCTGCTGTGAGCTCCTGCGAAAGCCTCACATGGAGCCACATGTGACAGCCAACACCAACAGCAGAGTACAGGAGCTCCCACTGACAGCCATCAGTGAAGAGATGAGAACAGGAACATTCCTCAAACACACACACAACCTTTTAGTCTGTTATTACCCATAATGAAAATAAAATGTAAGGAGAAATACACTCCTGTAGGGTAAACGCCTTTTGGGTCCAGCATTGCATCACACAGGCCAGTTTGTAGGTTTGTTAGAAAGGTCAGCGCAGCTCTCTGGCTAATGTTGACAAGAGGCTCATTGTTAAAGGGGGGAACGTCAAACCCAGTCACACAGCTGCTTGCCTCTTACAGCTTGTGCTGCTCACATGCAGCCAGATAAGATCGCTGCTGTTGAAAGTTGTAGTTGTGTAACCTACTTTGCACTCTGGGCTGCAGCTCGACTTGCTTTTGAAAACACTACTGTAAAAGCGATAAGGCATATTGATGTTATGTAGGGACACAATGAGCAAAACTGGACCGATAGGAAGAAATGGAATACTGTACATTGCCTTATAAATGTGTCACTTAGCAGCTTACTGTTCTTAGTGATAACTGTTAAGTGAAGGCGTTTGAATTATACATTGCAGTTCACCTCAGTCCATGCACTGCACCATTATAGCATAGATCACTCACATATAAATATTTCAACCAACATGTTGCACAGAGAGCACCCTTGGGCTCCGGGATGTTTTTGCCCGGGTGACTTGGCTACAGAGATACGATATCACCCCTGGACTGGCCCCAGGATTAGGCAGACGTACACTTGGCTCGAGGCCAGCGGCTCCCATTAGGGTGTCACAGGAAGCTCTCTGATACCACTGCACAGACAAAAGGGTTGGCAGTTGACGCTTCACTTAAGGTGTCAATGTTGTGACATTTTACCCAAAGTCTTTATCTGATGGCATTTTTCCAGAGAGGGGAAAGTGAGGTTAGAGTCTCTTTGACCGAAGTTTGGCACACTGATAAGTTTAAAGGAGTTGAAAATATGTTTTCGCAATTAGCCCTTTACTGAGAGCCATGATGTAGAACATGAAAAGAAATGTACTGCCAAAGTTGGAACAGTTTCCATTAGTTTTGTATAAATGTTATGTCTCTGCTGTTTTATCAGTGCTCTTCTGGTCTGAAGTAGAGTGGGCGTTGCTGTAAAATGGTGATGTCATACTTTTGTGCACCTATCAGTTTTATCAACATTTTCTGTCTCAAAAGCAACTAAAAAGTTTACTTCATGTATATTCATGTACATTAATTACCCCTATTGGATCAAGGATTACGTGTTAGTAGTTATTTGTCAAATGCCTGAGTATAGAAAGGAAGGCTATGTAAAGAACAACATGATATATATATATTTGGCAGAAGAATTTACCTCATCTGCTACATATTACTAGATAAAATAAAACAGTATACAAAAATGTGTAAACCAACCAGAACACAAATAGGCCTGTATGGTTCGTAAAATATGAATCAAGCTATTGTTTTATTTCTGTTGTACATTGAGAATCTTCTCTCCGACAGCACTTTGTAGACAGGGATCACATGTAATCTTGGCCAGTTTGGCCCACTTGGGGTAGATTTGGTTGAATTCACTTATGAACTAGTCCATGCATTTGTTACTTCAAGGCTGGATTATTGTTACCAGGGTGTACCAAAAAGTCAGTTAAATCGCTTCAGCTGATTCAAAATGCTGCAGCACGTGTACTAACCAGAGTTAGGAAAAGGGACCACATTACTCCTGTTCTGGCTGCCTTACACTGGCTCCCTATAGAACACAGGATAGAATTTAAAATTATTCTTCTCGCCTACAAAGCCCTTAATGGGCAGGCTCCATTTTACCTTAAATAACTCATTATACCCTACTGTCCTACTAGGGCATTGCGTTCCAAGAATGCAGGGTTGTTGGTTGTTCCTAGAGTCTCTAAAAGTACAATGGGAGCCAGAGCCTTTTCTTATCAAGCTCCACTTTTGTGGAATCAGCT